ATATATATATATATATATATATATATATATATAGAGAGAGAGAGAGAGAGAGACAGAGAGAGAGAGAGAGCGAGAAGAAAGGCCTATTCTATCATCACCCTCGAAACTGGATCCCAAACCGGTAGATCGTATGCACTAAGGATTACATTGTTGTTGGCCAGGCATTGTCGTGTGATGCCTATTTGTAATTTCAATCTCTCGGCGTGAAAATGTGCACATCTGTATAACATGTGCTACCACGTTTGTGACTCTGTGTTACTGCATGTGCACGTATCGTCATCTACGATATGGAATCGTTTTAGACTTGAACAGTGCTTTCCTAGTTTGTGCCTATGTCATCTTCAATGTGAGACGTAGTCATTTTAAGGAACTGTTTTATCTGCTTAATTGTTGGGAAAAATTGGTTGTGTGTTCTCCATCTTATTCTCCATCTCTCATCCCAGTTATAGAAACGACCTACACTCCATGTGGACAACCAGCACTTCAGATAAGTCGAGCGGGTCAGAGGTGACAGATTATCAGCCAGCCAGTTATCCAGGACCCAATTAGCCTAGGGGCCAGAGACGATAAAGCGCCCTTCTTATCCCTTCTTATCATTGCAACCAAACACATCAGCCCTTAGAACAATTAAACTAATTAAACAAATATGTATAAAACCCCTTGTATCTACTACGAAGGGGCTCACTCTTACTGTTGCGTTCTGTCCGTCATAGTGTCGGTTCCACTGTTGTAATCTTTTACAATAAAACTTCCTTTTTTTAAAAGTCTCTTCCGCAGAGCGGTTATTTAACTATCCCTCCAAGCTCGGATGCCACAGCTTGATTCGAAAACATCTCGCAGTCGATCAAAACCGAGAGATCGGTAAGCAGCCTTCTTTGCTATTTTCCTATTTTTTCGATTAGCTTATAGACAATCGGATTTAACATATCAAGAAGATTTGACTGTCCGTATAGATGATTGTTTTATGCACTCTCCAATTCCTGTTGTTAGCTGGAGACACTTTTCACTGCTTGTTAAATAACGAATGGTTGTTCGAGCTACGTTATGCTAGCCTGGATGAATTCACAAAAAGAAGAAACATTGGGGTTCGGTCCATCACCATTGCGCCTCCACCATGTAATCGTGTCGACTACCATCAGTAAAAATCCTATGGTAGGGATCGCTTACATTTCACACACATTACTAAAACTATTGCTAAAGCGAATAAAACTTTTGAATTGATTTACAAGTCTAAACATTTCCATCATCCAGGTCCACTGAAAATTTTCAATACTTTCACTATGAGAAAAACATTAGATTCCTATTCATCTCTTCAGGCCCCCTATCATATACCCATATTAGTACTATAGGTATAGTTTCAGAATAGATTGCCCTGCCTGGTACATATCTGAGCAACCGGAGAGCACAGACATACCATTACTCACATTTATTGTTATGGAAATTCTTTAGATTATTATATAAATTATTATATTCCTTAACCGATTTCCCATTACTTAGCAGAGCCGAATTAAATTTCATATTACTAACGCTAGTAATCTTAACTTTAATAATCCATTGACAAAAATAAATTGATGAATTTGGTTTTCATTTCCAAGTTTAAGCAGTAACAATAGTTCGTTCTCAGGTTGCAATTATGGCCTGTTTAAGTAGTATCTAGTGGTATATTTTTATCTCAAAAATTTGTAAATGGGTCAAATAAAAATTAAACGAACCAATGTTTTCTATAAGCGAAAAAGCCATTAAAAAAATAAAAACCATACGTAGTGTTATTAGACATATTTCAATATTTTTTCGAAAATAGCGTCATCGGTTGGAATACCCTCTTAAAAATAAAAATTATGTAATTATGATGGTTTGAAAAACTTTACAAAAACACCATAAAATCATGCATTTCGACTTTACAGTGTTGGTTGTTATAACTTCCACCCAATGTCCTAGTTTGCAAATAGTTATTTAAAAGTAATTTTTTTCTGAATATATATTATCTTGTTGAATTAATTTACATACAATAGTTTGGAAATCTTGTCGTTGTAATAATACAATAGTAGTATATTATCATTACCAATTAACTAATAAGAAATTAATAAAACTACAGGCTTTAAAAAGAATGTTATCACATAACTAAGCCAAATGGTAAAAAGATTTTCAACAGGGAACAATAGCATGGATATAGGTAGGTTGAAACTTTTTATCATAAAATAGTTTAATGAAGTCGTGGTAATTTAAGTATTTATTTTAGTACTTACTAACTAGTTACTAACTTAATTAGTTTGATCGCTAGAATAGAAATTCTGTGTAGGGTGAAACAGAACATCGAGGCTCTCTTCTTTGAACAATTTAATGGCCAAACCAAAACAAAAACGAATGTTTTTCTAATGTCTCCCTTAATTTAATTTCTCAATAATTTATTTGTACTACCTAATTATATGTTTCAAGTAGTTGGATATTTTAATAGATTTATTTATGTCCAAAGCGGGCTTTAAAAATGCACAGATCGTTCTTTTTCTTTGCGGTCTGACGGTCGTAAAAGGAGAATTGCAAGTGCAGTATGAATGGAACGTTGTAAACTTTCAAACTCCAGCGGGGTTTCCGGTGAACCCTGACTACGATGGCACATCCACGCCGATTTTTGGAATGGAGAAAAGCGGTGATGGCAGGGTCTTCGTTTCAACTCCAAGAATATGGCCAGGAAATCCGGCCACCCTCTCGGTCGTGTCGGACCAGCGAGACAGTAACGGATCCCTTTTATTACAGGTATTGTAATTATATTTTTTTGGTAATTTTAAACAGAAATGTACTTAAACAAATTGATTTTTCTATGGATTTAAGAAAAGTTGGACACTTTTTGACCGATCGACCTAAAAATTAAATATTAAAAAAACGATGATTATGTGAATTATCGACCAATATAGTAAAAAGAAGAAACTGCGATCACTTGCCAAGCTTTCCCCCTTAATTAAGGCCATACTCAGGGCAGTATTTTTGTGTTTTCATGATTTGTATGTTTTCAATACTGCCCTGAGGATGGCCGAAAGCTAGACAGTGATTTCTTCTTTTTAATCCTGACCCCACACCAGAACCAAATATTACACTAAACTAGTTAAAATTCTTTAAACAAATTAATGGCCTGCTAACCACTTATCGATTATAATTGTAATAAAGACATGATTTTCCAGTTCAAGTCCTGTGTGTTTTCCTTGGGGTCCTTGGGTACTAATTTCAAGTAAAGTCTGGTAAAAAGTCAGGATTTTACCCAAAAATGGAAGGAATGACAATGTACAATCCTGATTGTGCTACAGCTCTTGACATCTTCGACTTTTTCCTTTGGAAAACCTACAAATGTTCATCAATAATATACATGTCTTGCGTGAAATGGCTTATTTGTAACAATAGGAAAAATTAATCAAACTTCAAAATTAAACAACCCACCTAGAATTGATAGAATTTATTATCTGTTAAGAAAATCTTTTGATAGATAAAAATTAACTAAAACAATTAATTAAGGTTTTTAGATGAGATCAAAAAAAGTCAATGGCACGAGAGGGATTCGAACCCACGACCTTCGGCTAGATACGCCGCTGCTCTACCACCTGAGCTATTGTGACCTCGATCCACTCGGACACCAACTCCCCATCTCAACCCCACCTTATGAGTTTTCCCTCCTTTTGCGATTTTTGATGTCCGAGTGGATCGACATATGTTGGCCTAATCCTTTTTGTTGTTGATTATATAACATTCTGTTTTTCACAAACTGAATAATTTTTCCTGTATAGGTTTTTTTGTCCACATAAACATTTAAGTTTCTATAACCTTTTGGTTCGAACTTCGAACAGTCTCTCTTTANGGTAGAGCAGCGGCGTATCTAGCCGAAGGTCGTGGGTTCGAATCCCTCTCGTGCCATTGACTTTTTCATCTCAACTAAAAACCTTAATTAATTGTAATGTATTAACTGGTCAAGCGTACCACGAAATTAGTGAAATTAACTAAAACGTTCCCTATTCGTAAGTACGTCACGTCAGGTGCTTCTACACCTCAAATGCAACAAAAAAGGTCGTATGAACTATGGTCTCATTTTCAATCCTTTCACAGATATTCATTAAATTAAATTGAAAGTTCTATAAGGGTGGCCTCTTAAAGAAAATTTAACACTGTTTTAATGATTATTCGGAGATCGTGAGATACGGTCTGGTGTGAAGTAGGTTTTAGATAAACTCACTAATTTCGTGGTCCGCTTGACCAATTAATACTTTACAATTAATTAAGGTTTTTAGTTGAGATGAAAAAAAAAATTAATGGCACGAGAGGGATTCGAACCCTCGACCTTCAGCTAGAAATGAGGTCACGATAGCTCAGGTGGTAGAGCAGCGGCGTATCTAGCCGAAGGTCGTGGGTTCGAATCCCTCTCGTGCCATTGACTTTTTTTCATCTCAACTAAAAACCTTAATTAATTTTAGATAAACATTTTTTTTTGTCGTGCCAACGTTTCGATCTTTATTGAGGGCCTGGGATTTAAAAACATTCTTTGAATTTAACAAATACATGTAGGATGTGGAAAAAATAAATTGAATTTATACAATGTTAGAAAATTTAAAAAAAATTTAATCGAAGGGTTCTTACTCACTCACAGTGTTTATTTTCCGTGTAGATGTGTCATTCTTGTCTGTTCTGTAATTGATGCTGTGTTTATCTCTTTTGATCTAAACCACTTCTAAAAAGTTACGTTTATGTTTGTTTTGTTCTGTGTGTAATATTTTTGGATTGTTAAAGTCGAAATTGTGTTTGTGTTGAAAATGGTGGGTAGAACCACGTGACGAACTTTGCTTATAAGTAACGAATCAAACTGTATAAAAAGCAGACGAAGGAAATAGCATAGTTATTCTTGAACACCAAAAATAGATTACGAGCAAGGCGAAGTACATTAATCTGTGTCGTTGAACTTGCAACTTTTTTTATTATTCCTAATCTATAAATATTGTATTTTGCAGGCTTATCCTGATTGGTCATGGCACAAAAGTGCGGCTAAGGGGAAAGAGGATGATTGCAAAGGGTTGATATCAGTTTATGGTATGAGATTAGACCAATGCCAGAATCTTTGGGTACTTGACTCGAGCATTTTCAATCTCCAAAATTATAAAGTTGTTTGTCCCCCGAAAATTTTAATCTTCGATACAAGGACAAACGATCTTGTTAAAAAGATCCTTTTACCACGCAACCTAATGGGCCACAAATCGCTTTTCACAAACATAGTGCTCCATACTGTAGGAACAAACTGCTTGCGGACCACTGCCGCCTTTTTATCCGACACCTACTCCCCAGCTATAGTCACATATAACACCCAAGTGTCCAGATTTACCAGGTCTACACATCCTTCGATGAACCTAAACCCAAATGCTGAATCTTTTTCCGTAAGTAGAACTGAGACATTTTTGATTTAGATGTTGTTAGAGGCTAATTTGATTTCTCTTCCAGATATTGGGAGAGACCTTTCGTCTATCAGACTGCGTCCTTGGAATGGCAGTTGACAGTAATAGGAAAGAACTTTATTTTCAACCACTCTCATCCTTCTTCATATTTAAAGTTAAAGTTAATGATTTATTGAAAGGAAAAGATGGACATCGTCTGGGGGTCACTAGAGTAGCTAATAAAAGTTCGCAGTCTGCGGGGCTAGATTTCGGCCCAGTAGAGTCAGGAAAGGAAGTACTTGTTTACAGTGAAATTTCGGAAAACAACATCGTATTTTTGGATCCGACTACTTCAGAGAAAAGGTGAGCTATATGTACACGATAGGGATAGAGGAAAAAAAGAAACTTGCGCCACTTATTGTCAGTATATATATGTAAAACATCAACTTAAATTATTTGAAATTACTTGGTTTTGATCAAATTGAGTCTATATTTCAGTAAAAATGGATTAAATGTTTTTTTTTTGGTTTGGTTTATTGAGCCAATCCCACTTCGTGAGGTGTGTATTATTAGTAAATTAAGTAATTTTATAGTTTTTTTTTTTTTTAATCAGATCAGCACCCCCCTCCGGAGGTCTTAGTTTCGAGTCCGCTCGCGAATTTTTCAACTCAACCATACTTTGCATAATAATTAAAGTAATTAATTTTATTAACTTTACTGAGTGCCAGCAATGGCTGGCTCCTCAAAGCATGTGTCCTACCGGTGCAGTGCTGGCATTAGTGCTAGTGTTGTGCTGTGTGATATTTCATGCATGTGTACATATTTGTACAGTATACAATTCTGTATAGGTAACAAATAAATAAATTAAATTAAAAAAAAATTAACTGAAACAACTAAAAGCATATGAAGGATTGTTCTATATTTTATCCTCATGAAGTTAAGGTTATTTACTTCAAAATGTTGAGATACTGGGGAATCCATAAAAATTGCCGGCAATCCTTTTACCTCGATTGAATGCCGGATCAACTAAAAATTCAATTATGTATGTACACTGAGAGGCAAAAAGTGGGCAACCTGGTATCTGTTCGTAAATATTAGCAATCGGTAGAATTTTTATTTTGTATTGTTTACAGGATATTTTCAAAGAAAAATATAAGATATGCATAAATATTTTTTTTTAATTATATGTTTTTATTAAAACTGGTCTTATTAGACCAACCATTAATTTTACAATAATATTATAGAATAAATAAATGTTTACACTCTTATAAACCCAATAAGATTTACAGTTCACTATTCACAATTCACTTTTAACTACACAAGTTCATATGGCTTTGTTCTTTTTAATCTTCTGACCATGTTTCGGTTATGTAAGAGTTGGTCGCTTCCACATTCTCGTGCTGGCTGAGGGAGCCTGGTATTTGGTGGCAAATCTTTGTATTTCCGCCGTGACTTCAGGGATCTTAAGATCCCTGTGTAAGTCCTTATTCCTTATGTACCAAGGTGCATTGACCATGCTACGTAAGATTTTATTTTGGAGCGTTTGTATGATTTTGATATTGCTGTGTTTGGTACATCCCCATAGTTGAATACCATATGTCCACAAAGACTTTATGACTTGTTTATATAATAATATTTTATTTTGTATAGCAAGATTGGAGCCACGTCCTATCAACCAGTATAGTTGCCTATACCTTAAACCTATTTCTGTCCTTTTTTTCTTCACGTGTTCTTTCCATCTCAGCTTGGCATCTAAGGTCATTCCCAGATATTTAGCCGTATTGCTGTGTGGTAGTAGTTCCATCGATTGTGAGCGACGGAACGTGGTCCACCTTTTTGTTTGTAAAGATTAGATGGACTGATTTATGCTGATTTAGCTTGATTTTCCATTTTTTTGTCCATTCGTTTATCTTATTACATGCATTTTGGAGGAGTTTGGTTGAATGGGTGATAGTCGGTCCTAGTGATAACACCGCTGTGTCATCTGCAAACGTTGCAATTTTTACTCCATCTATTTTTGGAAAATCACTGGTGTATAACAAGTAAAGCAGTGGACCTAATATGCTACCTTGTGGCACTCCTGCATTTATTGTTTTTAATTTTGAATATTGATCTTCTTGTTTGACTCTAAACAGTCTGTCAGTTAGGTAGGAACTGATAATATCGACATACTGCTTTGGTAGCATACCTTTTAGTTTACTGATGAGTCCTTCGTGCCAGACCTTGTCAAAAGCTTGTGAGACATCAAGGAAGATAGCAGAACAAATTTGTTTTTCTTCGAGAGATTTTTCTATTTCGTCTGTTACTCGGTGAATTTGGTCTATTGTTGAGTGTCTTTTGGTGGTCAGGAATGATTTTATTTTTTTCAACGATGTGTTTTATTCGTTTTAATAACTTTTCGAAGAGTTTAGACACTGTTGGTAGTAGCGATATTGGTCTATATGATTTAACTTCGTTCGCCGGCTTTCCTGTTTTTTTTTATCATAATGACTTCTGCCAATTTCCAGATGCTGGGAACATATTTCAGTCTGATTAGCCTAAATAAAAAATAATTAAATAATTAAACTGAGTAAAACGATATTACTTCAATTATATTGCACAATATCACCAATTGCGCAATATGTTTGACTGTTTATGACAAGTACTGAAGTTTGGTCAACGATGGGAGAAAAGTTTGAGCAAGTTTAATTTTTATTGCACATTATTTCATAGCAAGCGCACTATTTTTTAGTCTAGGTCTAGTGTTGAATGACTTATCTTGCTGTTTCTTGTTTTCCCGAAAACATTGACTTTTGTGGGCCGTCAATATTATTGCGTGATAAATGGGGATCAAGATGTCATTTACAAGCAATTTTTTTTCAGGGTTGTTGCTGTCTCAGCTGAAAAACTTCAATTCGTCAGTGACATCAAAATTAAAAACGGGGAATTATTGTTGGCCAGCATCAGATTGCAGAAGTTCATCCTTTCGAGTATAAACTCTTCGGATACTAATTTAAGAATCATGAAATTCGTCTCTTCCTAATTATTAAATCGACCTGTAAAAGTCGTCAACAATTATATTATTATCATGAAGTGGAAAAATACAATTTTTGTTTTATTTTTACTATCATAAGAAATCCTGAATATGAATATGACAGAATACAAATAGTGTATTAAGTAAATATATTCGTATATGCCGAATTTGTCATTTGAGTCTATTGTAGGAAAATTTTCCTCAAACAACACTCCTTCCCGCTGAAACCTCGACAATTCTCACTCAATGAGGAGGACTCCAGGCCACTTTCGCTTCAATAGTCTTGGAGATTTTTCAGGTAAGGTTAGAAGTAATAACTGTTGTACTATTCGGTTATTGTGGATGTTCAGTGATTGATGAAATTTTTTATGACAAATTTTTAATGAGGTCATGTACAAACGGGATATTGTAATTTAAAACATAATTTAACAGAGAATTTTATACTGAATTGATTGGAGACGTTGGGTTTTGGAATCTTTGTTGACTTCACAACCCGCCCAGAGCGATCCTGCCTTGTAAAGTGAAAGTTTATTTTCAATGTCTGATTTTGATTGTGAGTCAAGTAGTCTTTTTAATAATTTATGACTTCGGTTTGTTTCTTGTCTTTTCAGTCTTGTGTGGGGATTCCAAGCCAGTCGTTTATCCACATGTCCAATGTTTCATTCATTTGTCAAATATTCATTCGTTCCAATAAATTAACATAGACACAACACCCGCTACAAACATAAAAGACTGGTCACAACCACTCCTCTAAAGTAAGCGATATTCCTCGAGGGGGTCGAACCCAGTCCATTCTCGCTAATGACTTACTTCTACTCTCCAGACGTCAAACATTCATTCCAAGTACTGATATTCCTAAGAGCTACAACCCCCTTCCTTTCACGCTACTAAATTACATTCATTCTAATAAATTAACATAAACACAACACTCGGTACAAACATAAAAGTCTGGTCATATTCACTCCACCAAAGGCGGGGTCGAACCACCCCATTCTTGCAACTTACTCTCGAGACATACGTGTTTGTTTTTGTATACTTTTGTGGTTAGCAATGTGTAGAGATTAGTGAGCGTTAATCGATAGTTATTCAGATATCGTGAGATGCGGTCGGGTGTGATGTAGGTTTCAGAAAAACATTTTCTTTATCGTGCCAACGTTTCGATCTTTTATTGAGATCATCTTCAGGGCCTGGGATTTACAAACATTGAGATATGAGAGAGTAGTGTGAGGGGATGTGGATATTATTAATTTTGTTAATGAAATAAAATGAATCATTTACATTATATGTGTTATATGTGATGTTGTTGAGTATGTTGGTTAGGTATTTTGTCATGTTATATGTGGGTGAGTTTGCAAATGAAATTATGGGTCTTAGAGGGTGTTCAGGTTTGTGTGTTTTTACAGATCCATATAGCTTCGGAGGTGTTGGTAAGTTGTTTTGAAGTGATTTGTATGTGTATGTGTCAATTTCTTTTCGTTTAAGTGTTTCATGGAGAATTTTGTTTGTCTGTTTGATGAGAGAAGGAGTAGGGTCTGATTTGAGTAAGGTGTATGTGTTTGTGTCCGTGATAATTTTGTCAATTTTTTCTTTGACTCTTTCTTGCTGATTGCAACTGTTTGTTTGGTCTTATCAGCCGAAAGAATCCTTTTCCTCTTTATCCCCTTTCTATATAATCCTGAAAGGACAATCTGGCCGAACTATTACCAACACATTTGGTGGTCCCCTTTGTCGGCTTTTTTCACTTCAAAGAAGCCGACGCCTTGCACAAAATTGTCTTTTATATACCGACTTCCTTCCCCACCCCTTCAACACCAAACATATATAAACATGAAACAGCAAAATCTCACTGGCACTCTCAACACGACACGCAAGGATTGCACATTTACACAGAAGACAAACACTTTGAGTGAGTAGAAATACTTTGTTTGAATATAAAATATATTTTGCATTGTATAAATTCACTTTTCCACATCCTAAATGTATTTGTTAAATGTAAACATTGTTTGTAAATCCCAGGCCCTGAAGATGATCTCAATAAAAGATCGAAACGTTGGCACGATAAAGAAAATGTTTTTCTGAAACCTACATCACACCCGACCGCATCTCACGATATCTGAATAACTAATTGTCGTTAGCGTTGTCTGTGTTGAGCATAGTGTCCTTATTTCTGTTTCTTCAAGTAAATCTATTAACATAGTAAAATAATTTATTATCAGTTATCCCGAATTATGAAATACGTAAATTTTAAATCAAGAGCGTTTATGTCAGGACGTGGAGACTGCAAACAAAATCAGTTTCATAAAAGTCTGTGCGGCGTGTGTCAGCACAGGGACCGCGTTGCGCAAGTTACCAAATTTCAATCTGGAAGCCCGTTGAAAAAAAGAAATACCGCGGACTGCCACAACCCGGACGAGTGGTTCTGGGGGGCTTGGCGTCCAAAGAAGTGGGAGGCCTTTTTCCTAGAGTAGTTTTCGTTCCCCCTCGGAAGGACCATATTCAACTGGTCAACTATCATCTATCAACGTCTGGACATCTTACACTATGAATGAAGGTTTGTCGAATACAATAAATCAAGTGAACATTCTTAAATTTAAGACACACGTTGAGTTCGAACATCTGTGTTCCATTGTTATAGTTTGAAAATTTTGTGATTAAGCATTTTATTAAAATTGTTTACAAACATCAATGCTGTTTTTGCAATGTAATAAGGTTTATTATTACAATTATCACGAAAAAAGTTAAATTTTGTTATATAAATTAAATCTTTTGATTGTTGAGAATTTCTAGTTATGGATAAAATTAATGATGTAAAAAAAAACTTATTATTTATTTTAATAGAAATTTATGAATGTTGTTTTTTTGCCTTAATTTCCTTTAAATGTAAAAATGCAATATAAATACAGATTAACCCATATTCTCTGGAAATATTTATTTACTTTTAAATGTAGTATGTCGTTAACACCACTCATTAGTTTCGCTTGCCATTTTTCTTAAATTTTAAGACAGTATTAAGACAAAATAGTTAAAATGAAGAGGCCTCTCAAGGGGAGGCTACTGCGTAGGTTTAGCGATTTTAATAAAGCTTTTTTAAAAAGAAGTAAAGTAGATCATAAAACTTTTTTCTGAAAAAAAATCGTATTCATTTTAAGCACTCTTTAACTCCCAACTTTAACTTAAATATGAACTTTCATCGCAATAAAAATGAACATTATTGCGCTGGGAAAAAAAATCTTAATAAAAAGTTTTATTTATCTAAGCATAAAATACACAAGCTCCACCGATAGGTTTAATTTTCTCCTCGTCGCCCTGAGAAAATTTTTTTAGCTTTAACTATTAGACGGCACGCTTTTTAGTAACCAGCATGATACAATGACGTGAGCTTTCTTTTTTAGGATGGTTCATAAAATTTTCTTTGATTCCGGAGTCCAAACCTAGTTGAGATTGATAACAAGGCAGAATATTTGGTTTCTCCTCAAATGGTAATTCCTAATACCCAATTTACGGAAATACCCAGGATGATACTTGCCAAAGTTGATGTTGGTTCCACCAGCGTAATCTCAACCACCAGGATGCTTTCATTGCTTACCAATACGTCGGCTTTCTAGACGTCTTTTTATGATATACATATGTTATGATATACATATGTTATGATATACATATTTCAATATACATATTGATATACATATTTCAATAATATGTACATAAAAGGTGGAACAGCACCAAGTTAAAAAAAAAACGCATAACTCTTTTGAATTTTAAATATACACCATTTTTTACCAATTTGCTGGAAATGTTTTTTTCAAAATTATATTTAAGCTTAGCTTATTTAATACAATTTTGTTTATTTTCTTATCCTAGTTAAAAAAATCGACTGATACAATTATATAATAAAATTGAAATGCATGCAAACAAAGGCAGAAAACCAACTTACATATAGGTTGAAATAAATACTAAAATACGAGAGCCCGTTTTGTGTGTGTGTGTGTGTTTGTGTGTGTGTGTGCGTGCGTGCGCGCTATATTTGGTATAAGTTGCTTTCTTCCTTTGTTTGCATATATTTCACTTTTATTATATAATTATATCAATCGATTTTTTGTTTACTAGGATAAGAAAATAAACAAAATCTTATTAAATAAGATTAAATATAATGTGTGGTGATTAGTGACCGTTAGTCGATGATTTTTCGGAAATCGTGAGATGCGGTCTGGTGTGATGTAGGTTCAGGAAAACATTTTCTTTATCGTGCCAACGTTTCGATCTTTGTTAAGATCATCTTCAGGGCCTGGGATTTACAAACATTGTTTAATATAACAAATACATCTAGGATGTGGAAAAAATTGAATTTATACAATGCAAAAAAAATATTTTTTATATTCAATCAAAGAATTTCTATTTCAATATAATAAAAACAAACGTATTTTATTTTTTTTAGAAATCGTGAGATGCGGTCTGGTGTGATGTAGGTTTCAGAAAAACATTTTCTTTCTCGTGCCAACGTGTCGATCTTTATTGAGATCATCTCCAAGGCTCAAAGTGTTTGTTTTCTGCGTAATTGTGCCCTGAAGATGATCTCAATAAAGATCGAAACATTGGCCCGATAAAGAAAATGTTTTTCTGAAACTTACATCACAGACCGCATTTCACGACTTCCGAATAATCATTAAATATAATTTTGAAATGTTTCCAAAATCAAAAGACATATCCAGCAAATTTGGTCAAAAAAGGTATATATTTAAAATTCAATGGTGTTATGAGCTTTTTTAACTAGTGTTGTTTACAAGATACTTTTATATGATAATACGAATGTCCGGGGTTTTGTTGTTGTTTGTATTAATTAATAACAATAACATAATTATTATAATGTAAACCAAATTAAATGAGATCAGAAATTCATGAATTTTAATTTAAAAAATTGGCTGAAGGGAATAGCGACGTTAAAAGAATGTTTAATTATGATGGTTTGAAAGAAAATACACCAAAACAACGGAAAATCATCTAGTGACACAATATGTACATTTTTAGTTCAATTTATTCTATCATTAAATGATTTTTCAATATTTTGGTGAATTTTCTTATGAAACTTATGAATTCTTCTTATGGTGAATTTTCTTATGAGCATTTTCTTCTTATGAAACTTATGAATTCTACTTATGGTGAAGTTTCTTATGAACCTTTTCTTCTTACGAAACTTATGAATTCTTCTTATTGTGAATTTTCTTATGAACCTTTTTCTTTTTATGAAACTTATAAATTCTTCTTATGGTGAATTATGATGGTTTGAGAGAAGATTTAACAAAACACCGGAAACTCATTTAGTGATGGAATAAATTGTTAGTTAAATGTTTTCGTTGTTTTGGGAAATTTTCTTTCAAACCATCTAATTAAATATTTGTTATTAAAACTCATGAATTTCCGGTACATTTAAATTTAACTAACAATTTCTTTACTTATACAGAAATCGTGAGATGCGGTCTGGCGTGATGTAGGTTTCAGAAAAACATTTTCTTTATCGTGCCAACGTTTCGATCTTTATTGAGATTATCTTCAGGGCACAATTACGCAGAAAACAAACACTTTGAGCCTTGAAGATGATCTCAATAAAGATCGAAACGTTGGCACGATAAAGAAAATGTTTTTCTGAAACCTACATCCACCAGACCGCATCTAACGATTTCTGAATAATTATCAACTAACGGTCACTACTCACCACACATTTCTTTAATGTTTGATAGTTCCCGTTTATCCCGGTCTACCTATCCTTCCTGATTTTTGTTATTTCAGAAGCTTTGTTAATTCGGCATTTCGGCATTATTGTTGAAGAAACAGAAACAAACAACACTACAAATGCCTATCGCACACTGTAGCCTTCTCACATTTTGAATCTAGTTGAAACAAAATAAGAAGTATGGTTCGATGATTTCAAAATTATACTTGACGCTCGGTTTAATCCATCCGAAATAATTAACAATTAACAAATTTCATTTAATTGAAATCCATTGAGGAGGATGAAATTTTAAAATATAGATTTACGAAAAATAATGAAAAGATGACACTGGTACAATAGAGCATGGATTAAGCAATATTGATTAGCCTGATTTGACAAATTTCAAGGTTTCTAACGAAAAAGTAAACGGCCTGTAAATTAACTTAATTACATAAAACAACCGACGCAGAACTGCAAGCAGCCGAAGCGTGGTATGCGAATGCCGTCCTGAAACTCTCACATGAGGAAGGATACGGTTAAACCAGTTCCGAAAGAGAAAGTGGGGAATCGAGTGAACAATGAGTGTGTTCACTTTTGTATGTTCCACTTCGTTTTAATTATCAACATGACAATAGAGAGATTTTGCATAACGTTTCCGCTATTTCAAGGTCACCGTTATATCTAACGTCTTTCAAATAACGTTGATGCTATTTGAAGACTTTTGACATAATAGATTTTACTGGTAACTCTATTTCCTGGGGGGTTCGTATTTGTAAACAAAGGATAGTTCAAGGCATGTTATGGATTTTCTCTTGATTGCTGACGATAGTTTTGCAAATGCTGAAGACTTATAGTTTAAGAAGCTCTAACGTACAAAGCAAACATTAATTACTAGGCCATTCGGGGCAAGTTCAGTTTAAATAAAATGGAGGACGAAAAGTGTCAAAAACCCATAAAACAGCTAAATATTTTGATGTTGGAACACCAAATACATACATTCTTAAGAGTCGGGATTCATGAATTGTACGAATTGTAAAAAGTTAACTATAAAATAAACAATTTTACTAGATTTCTGCACATATATTATTTTTTTAATTGGACAATATTTCTAACAAAAAATACTGTCTTGATTTTACCGCCACCCGTTAATGATCATGCTATTTTTAGACGGTCCCTAGACGATCAATTATATTGCGCAATATTTTTAACCGTTTAGGGTAAGTATTGAAGTTTGCTCAATGATTGAACAAAAGTTATTTTTGAGCTAAGATTATTTTTTTATTATACCATAGTTTTTCATTGCACTGTGTAGGGTTAATACTGCGCTAAGCAATAAGAGAACGTTCAGCGTAGCGCTTAACTACTTTTTGTGTAGAGAAAGGAAGGGTTCCAAAATGACAATAAACCAGAGATATATTTGTAAATATTTATTGTTAATTCACTACTTTCGTGGTCCGCTTGACCAATTAATACATGACAATTAATTAAGGTTTTTAGTTGGGATGAAAAAAGTTAATGGCACGAGAGGGATTCGAACCCACGATCTTCGGCTAGATACGCCGCTGCTCTACCACCTGAGCTATCGTGACCTCGATCCACTCGGACATCAATCGGTAGAGCAGCGGCGTATCTAGCCGAAGATCGTGGGTTCGAATCCCGCTCGTGCCATTAATTTTTTTTCATCTCAACTAAAAACCTTAATTAATTGTCATGTATTAATTGGTCAAGCTGACCACGAAAGTAGTGAATTAATGATTTAAAAATGAAGTACACTTCACTAAAGCTCTCCGTCGCCATTTCAATTGTCGTCGAGAATCCAAACCGATTGATTACACTACCTTTGAAAA